TTTTGTGTTTTCTGATGGTCGTAGGCAACCCCTGTGAAAGGGTCATTTGACCCCCAAAGGGATCTCAACCTCCAAGTTGAGCACTGCTGACTTAGGCATCCCACAAACAGTCAAGAGCAGAGAGAAGCACGTGGATCCTTGCCTGCTTGCTAGTGCTAGGCTCCTTCTCTGGTCTTATAAAGTCCAGGGCCCAGCCTATGAAAAGGTGCTGCACACATTCAGTGGCCTCACCTCGGTTAAAGCAAGACAGTCCCTCACAGGCCCGCCCGAGGTGGACAACCCCTCACCGGGGCCTGGGTGGCATTTAAAACTCACCAGCACAACAGTTCACCGAAGACAGCCCTTGTATTTCTGGGCATTCTACGAGCTGGCTCTTTAGTTGAGACAAGTCTTTAAAAACACTGAAACTATTTTTTTTTAAGTAAAAATTTAAAGTGTATTCTTCTGCTTCACCTTTCACCCCAGAACTGTTTCATCAGCCTGCCTCAGATTCAGAATCTGACCCTTCATTTCCTAGAGTTAGGTCCCAGCAGGGAGCAGTGATCGCATAAGGTCACTTAAGCTACATTCAATGTTGCCTCCTAACTTCTACGTCATTGCATTCTCTATGTCTACCATGTATGAGAGCAAGAAGCTGGCTAGGAACCAGACTCACCTCACATCTGATAAGACTTAACAGAGAAGCCCAGAATCTTGGGACCAGGTGGTTCTTATAGTACCACTTGTAAGGTAACTAGCAGATTACAAGACTCATAGCTTTCCACTCTTTCAGGTAACCACACAAGAAACATCTATGGAGAATAGCCCGGAAGATGGGGCCTACATCAAAGGCCTTTTCCTCGAGGGTGCCCGTTGGGACAGGAAAACGATGCAGATTGGAGAATCTCTCCCCAAAATCCTCTATGACCCATTGCCCATCATTTGGCTGAAACCTGGGGACAGCTCATTATTCTTGCATGAGAACATTTACGTGTGTCCGGTGTATAAGACAAGTGCCCGGAGAGGTACCCTCTCTACCACTGGCCACTCTACCAACTACGTCCTGTCCATTGAGCTTCCAACAGACATGCCTCAGAAGCACTGGATAAACCGAGGTGTGGCCTCACTGTGCCAGCTGGATAATTAAGAGCAGGTGTCTCAAAACTGAGAGTAAATGGCATTTCATTTCTCCATTACAATATAGCCTTTCTTTCTTGAGTTATATAGGGTAAAGGTAACAATGACATAATTATAGCAATAGCGCCGGACATTTCGCAGCAGCCCTATAAAGTAAGTTATTATCATCATTCTTGTCGTCATTTCATGGCTGCAGAAACTACGAGAAGGTAGGTAATACTCCCATATTAGACGGATCCTAAATTGGAACACAGGCAGTGTGACTCTCCACCTAGACTTGCAGTCATTTGGCTTAAGCTAGTATTTTCTTTACGTTGGGTTTTGCTGTAACTGTCACGGAATTCCAGTCACTTCTGAACTGATTGACCTACTTGTGCAGCCATCCAGGACCCATAAGAGACTGAGAAGGGCTTGAATTTTTTTTTTAAAGCTCTTGGTATATTTTATTTATATTATATTTTTTGGCGTGTATGTGTCTGAGTGTAAGAATGTTGAGTACAGGTGCCCAGAGAGGTCAGAAGAGAGTATTAGATCCCTGGAAATGGAATTACAAATAGTTGTGAGCTGCTATGTGGTTGTTGGGGACTGAACCCATGTCCCCTGCAGGAGCGACAAGCACTCTTCACCACTGAGCTACCTCTTCAGCCTTCACTCAGTCTGTTTTAAATGCACATCTTATAAGGACCCTAGGTGGTGAGGACTATTATCACTTCTGCTCTGCTGGTTCCGATTACGTTCCAGTCAGTTAGTGGTATAAGGTCAGCTGCTGCTTGTGCCGAGGACCAAGCCCATGACCAAGCGCTCTAGGCCAGCACTCCACTGAGCTACATTCCCAGCCCAGCTTCGACTGCTTCTCTATCAGTCACATGAATGGGCTGACTTCTCTCATCTTTGGAGAGATGAGAGGAGCCTATTTGTTGTCTTCCTATCCTGCCGTGTGCAGGGTTTGTGCCCAAGCCTTTGGCTCACTCGTTCAATCCGTGTGCTAGGAATGACTGTTTAACCCCGCCTCCCAGTCCTCACACCCGGTGGCTCGTGGAGTCGAAAGAGGCCACCTAAGAGCACCACACAGCTCTTTCACATTGCACAGCCAGGTGGGAGTTCTCTGGCCCTTGAATCCCATGTATGTTTCACAGCCACATGTTACCTCCTAGCCGAGGACTTGGCTGTTCTGATGTGGACTCTTGGAAGAGATTGTAATGCCAGCCACATGACTGTGTCCAAGGAATTTCCATCCTTTGTTTCTCCCCAGAACATCAAACTCTCGAGGTTTTCTTCCCTGATCCCCTCAGGTAGCTCTTAGGCTCGAAGTGGCTTTACTTGGGGTGTTCAGAGTGCAGCAGAAACGGGCGGTTTGACAGTCTTAGTGTGTGTGGTCTGTGTGGTCTGTGTGGTCTGTGTGGTCTGTGTGGTCTGGCTTTTCTGCCTCTTCACTAGAAACAAAGGCCTTGATTCAGGACAAAATAAAGGTACTTCAGAAAACTTTAGTTTCAATTTCTTCAAGGTGTTAACCAAATTCTGAGATGAGCAAGCTGAGTGCCCAGAAAGAGTAAGTTCATGGTAATAGAGACACTGAGGAAGTAAATTCCTACTCAAAGCAGGTCACTAAAGGTATTTTTTCAAGAAAGAAACAACCGTTTTCCCAATAGGTAGATAAATCAGAATGCACTGATAGTGAGGAGGACTGTATCAATCTCAGTAAGAGGATCAGTCATGTGATGTGGAAAGATGGTAGGCCCAAGCCCTTACCTCTTGGGATGGTACATCAGCCATACTGCAGGCTGTCAAAGAGCTGGTATAAGGGGACTGCTAAGAGAACAAATGAATTTTAATTATAGTTAACTCCAGCTTCATTCAGCACTGAAAAGCTGAGAGAGGCAAGGACTGCCTCATTCTTCAAGGCTCAAGGGACTGAATTACATTTTTGAAATTTTTGTATTACATTTTTGAAATTTAAACTATTTAAACTATTTCCTCCACTTTGAAAACAAAGAGTGCCCTAAATTTAAGGTCATTTTCAGTTGGGGTCAATGTGGTAATGTTTTCTCCCGGAAAAGGGACTGTTCTTCAGGAATCATGGTGAGTTAGAGACTAGAGTCCTGGGCAAAGGTGGTTACTGCTCAACTCAACAAGAAACAGCAAGTTCTGCTTATCAATAGGTCAGAGATGATACCAGGAAAACCTGGTATATTAGTCAGAGTTCTCTAGAGGAACAGTACTGATAGAATGCATCTCTCTTTCATTTATATGAATGCATATATGTATACATAAGGGGATTTATTTGAGTGGCTTACAGGCCAAATATGGCTCTCTTGCAACAGAAAGTCTGAGAATCCAGTAATAGTTCAGTCCATAAGGATGGATGATTCAGCCGGTCAGTGTATGCCTGAATCTTGAGGTAGGATCCAATGCCAGCAAATCAAAAGTGAGGGCAAGCAGGCAAAGAGCAAAAGCTTCCTTATTCCACTGTCTTTATATAGGCTATCACCAGGTGTGTCCCAAATTAAAGGTGTATCTTCCCACCTCAAAAGGTATGTGTTTCCACTTCAAATGATTTAAAAAAATAAAATCCCTCACAGGTACCCAGATGTTTGGATTTTAGTTAATTCCAGATGTGGTCAAGTTGACACCATAAATAGCCATAAGACCTGATCAGCAAGCTAGTCTTTGACCTTAAATTTTTTTTTAAGCTGTTGACAGTTATGTTCAGTTCTTATTAGTGACAGAAAAGAATTTCACTGAGTAAGGGGACTTGGAGATAGAATTTAATGGATTTGGAGAGAAAGTAGGGAAATAATAGTAAGACACATAAGTTGGGCATGATAGTGCACACTTGTAATCCTAGCATTTAAAACAGGCAGGAGGACCTTGAGTCTGTCAGTCAAGGCCAGCCTGGGCTACAAGGTAAACCCACCTCAAATTCTATCTGATTACAACGTGATGCTGAGTTGCTTGAGTCCACAGATTCCATCTGCATGAGAGATACTTAAAACATTAAATCATCATCCATCATAGAAATGTTTCTACACCAAGACTTGCCAGAAGAAGAGGAACAAAAAAGATGGAAGATTCCTTTCTCCCAGCTCAAGCTAGTCTGGGATATGTCCTCCCAGAATAGCTAATACACCTAACACACTGACACTTCTCTCTTTACCGAGGCCAATTACTGCATTTATATTTAACATGTATACACTATTTATTACTTCACTGATTGACAGAGTATAAAAGTTTGCTTTCCCCATCACTGCCAATGCCTGAAGTACTTTCCCTGAACATGAGAAAGATGCTGCTGGTCATGTTGTTCTTCCTGACGGTTGCAAATGCTTTTGGGAAAGAACACAAAGAGACCCAAATAAGTAGGGATTTATCTTTATTAGTGAGTCCATTATCCATTACCTGCTGATGTGCTAACAGCTTGCTGTGGAGTCACACTTGGTTCCACACATGCTCTCTTTGTCCCATTTCTGTTTGGATATAATTTGAAAGCCAGCTTGGATCTTATGCTTTTAAATTAGGTTAAAGTAGAATTAAATGAATGCAGTATAAATGTCAAGGAAGCTGTTTAGATCCTAAGTGCATCTTAAGTAACCACAGGCTTTAAAATAAGGGAAGCATATATCTTTAAACAAGGCATGTACTTCCGTTTATCAACCGGGAGAAGGGTATTGTACCATGTTTCCATTAAAATGACCACATGATCAGCTGTGTTTGGTGACTCATGTCTAGTTCCAGCACTTGAGAAGCGGAAGCAGGAGGATCAACACAAGTTCAAGGCTAGTCTGGTAAACCTAGAGTTCTAGGCCAACAGGTGCTATGTAGAAAAATCCTGTCTCAAAATAATCCCCTCTCCCATAAAACCAAACAAAACAACAAAAAAGTGTGATCAATCCAAAGCTGTTCTTTATTAAGGGAGTATATCTGGAAATTACAATAGTCAGGAGACCAAAAAAAAAAGAAAGAAAAAAAGAACAAAAAAGGACTATACAGAAACCACTTCAAGCAAATGAAAAGAACTTGTGGAAAAATCCCTAGAAAGTATTTTGGGAGCAGCATAGTTCTGGAGGCATGTGAACTTGTAGCAACTAGTTAACCCGTTTGCATCAGTTGATGTGTGCTGAAAGGCAGTCTCGGGAATTGCTTTCAGCCTTCCTCCACAGGCCTTAGACTGTTCCCAAGGATGACTTCAGTGAAGATGTAAGTCCATGACCTCTAGGGTTAATGTCATCAGTTCACGTAGCAACAAGACCCTGAAAAACCCTAGGGATGCTAGCAGCCACATGTCATAGGGTGAGGACCAATTTTGTAAGTTTGAAGGACATGTTTTTGCTTCTAATCAAAAAGGGTATATTGCCTGGTTTATATTCAAAACTGAATAGGCTTGCTGTTCTCAAAGGAAATTGTCCTCCATGTTAGGAAACTTCATCATGAGACTTCAGATACAATGGTTTGGAAAGTTTTCTCAGTTTCTCCTGGGTTTGAAGTCTCCGCCCTCGTAGTGGGATGAGACTCATTGGAGGCAGATGAATCTGAGTGAGAATAATGACATGAAGAATCATAATTAGTGCAGCTTATATTTACTGAGGATTTATAGTTTTTAAGTGCTAAATCTACCACAGACTCAATGTTTATGTTTCTGCATCCATTTATCTATCCTTATGATAACCTCCTAAAGAATAATTTTTATATATGAAAAATAGGAAGCTCAGAGAAACTGAATTCTGACTTGTTCAAGATGACACACCAAGTGGTAGAATTGGATTTGATCCCAGAATCTGGTGTTGAGCTTGTACCCATCTATGCCACTGTGCCTGGACACAGGAAAAGACCTATAGATCCATTCAGCAAAATGGCATCCAAAGAAGGAAGAAGAGAAAAGCTACTTGCATACAAAGATGTCAGTGCATGATGGCCATTGGTGCCAACTCAAATGTCTACTGAGGTAGAAAGATGCTTACAATTATGGCTGTGATGGCTACTTTTATGAGGAAATCTGACTAAGAATGAATCATTTCTGGGTGTATGTGTGGTTATTTCCAGATAAGAGCAGTATATGAATTAGTAGATTCAATAGACTGTCCTCTCTGTGAGGGGCATCCTCCAACCTAGTGGGGACTGATAAGAAAAAAAGGCAAAGGATGAATTCACTTTTTCTGCTTCTTGCTCACCGTATTTGAGCTGAGATGTCTCATTTTCCCCACCTCTACCCTAGATTGCTATCAACAGCCCCCTTGATTCTCAGTCCCTTGCACTAAGACTGAATTATGCCACTTGGCTTTCTCCTGGGTCTTTGCCCCCCCCCCAATAACTGTATAGTCTGTCTATCTCCATCCATCCATCCATCCATCCATCCATCCATCCATCCATCCATCCATCCTTCCATCCATATGGATCCACTCTGATCTCCTTCCTACTGGATCTATTTCTCTGAGGAACCCTGACTTGGTAAAATGATGGCACATTCTTGCTATACATACAATGCAAACATTTAGGATTAAGGTAGAGCTGTATACAAAGATGCTCAGAAGAGAGGAAATAAGTAGGTAATAAAAACGGTATACTCAGAATTCCATGTATGAAAGAACATATATGCATGTGTGTATAAAACTAATATTATCAGATAATTAAAGCTGAATTGATAAGTATCAATATCAAGTTAAAAAGTTGGAAACTGGTCATTTTTAAATTACAGTGGCCTCTTTCATAAGGTGGAAAATTTCACTCTACTTTCTGTAATCTTTTAATATTTGAACTTTACTTTTTAGTATTTAAAAAGCTTGCCTTTTATACTAAAAAAATGTTGACAGCCCAAAGAAAAGCTTTGTAAGTGTGAGCTGGTTTCCCCTTCCCCTTTCCCCTTGTGCAGCGTGGGAAGCTGCACCAGAAGAGACCAGATGTTCACCGACACAGTGATTTGTTTTGATGGCTGGTGGCGTGAAAGGATGACTTACTTCAACATGCTTCCCACAATGGCTCTCGGCTCCTCAGCAAATATTAGTCCTCATGGTATACATTCTTAGAAATAATTGGGTTGACAAATGCCCAACACCTGTTTACTGGAACCATACTTACTGGCCGTGGATAAGGAATCTGGTAATGCAGTCCAATCTCAATTCTGGCTGTGCATTCATGTATACATAGTTTAATCAGCTCTGGGTCTGTGAGCTATTTAAGGGGAAATAAATGATGCATTTAGTATCTTTCTAATAGTGTATAAAATATAGTACCAACTTTCTTAAAACTTTTCAGGGAAAAAAAAAACTTTTCAGGGAAAAAAAAAAACTTTTCAGCTCACTAGCCAGGAAACTCAATAGTGGTAAATAAAAGTCTCTCTTATCTTTCAGTTAACCTTCTTAGGCAGCTCTCTAAAGTTAAGTCTATAAATATAAATAAATAAAGTTAGTCTATAAATATAAATAAATCCATATGTAGAGAATTAGCAATTTAAAAATATTTCTCATTTTATGTACTATTTTGTCTATATAATAAGGAGAGTGTACCATGAAACATGGACCATGGTATGTGTATGCATGTGTGACATCAGACGACAACTTTGTAGAGTTGACTTTTTCCTGTCTTTCTGTGGGTTCTAGCGATTGAATTCATTTTGTCAAGCTTGTGAGGTAAATACCTTTACCCAGTGAGCCATCTCACTGGCCCTCAATTTTCTTACACAGATATCTTTATAAGTTTTGCTTTTTAATTAATATAATTTGAAGCTCTTTTGGTATTCAGACATCAGGAGCCACTCTTCCTGAAAAGTATCAAAACTTTAACATAAAGCTTTATTATAATGTAACCACTTTGCTCCTGATGAGCATTTTGGTTATTTCCAGTCTTTTGCCATTACAAACAATTCTACAGATCTTTATACATTTTATTTATTTATTTATTTTTGCTCATATGCCAATGTATCAGTGTGAGATGAATTCTCAGAGTGAGAATGCTAAGACAAAGAGGCTATGTAGGTTCATGTGTGCAGAATTCTCACAATATTCCCGTTTCCTTCTAGAGTTTACAACAATGTATGTCCCCATCAACAGTCTGCAAACTTACATCCCCCATGCCAAATGAGAGAGCTACTTCACATCCTCCCAGCAGTGACTCTCTAGGCCAGTGGTTCTCAACCTTCCTAAGGCTGTGACCCTTTAATACAGTTCCTCATGTTGTGGTGACCCCCAACCATAACATTATTTTCATTGCTACTTCTACCTAATTTTGTTATTGTTATGAATCATAATATAAACATCCGTGTTTTCCTTTGTTCTTAGGAAACCCCTTGTGAAAGGGTCATTTGATGCCCTCAAAGGGGTAGCAACCCACAGGATGAGATCCACTGCTCTAAAGGAACCTGGCTTTTTAGCAAGAATAAAATACTAGAGAATGGTTTACTTCATATTTTAAACTATAAATTGTCTTGTTCATTAGTAAGGGGAAAAAGGAGTTTTGAAATTCAAGATCAGTCAAATTGTAATAATAATGTATTTTTAAGTAGAAGAGTGAAATGTTTATTCGGGGGGAGGGGGAGCCACAAAACCAAAAACCCAGAAAGGCAAATCAGGAAGCAGACAAACTTTCATTCTGAGGATGTAAAAAAAACAATCAGTACATGGATCTTCTATGCATTTATGAAAGTGCTTCAAAATAGTGCCAGAATTGCATCAGCCTCAGATGACATGCCAGGTGAAGTCTGGGCCCATGTGTTTTGGAAATTCCAAGGGAGTTCTTGTCCCCTGGTGGTGCTTGGAGTTCCAGGAACAGCAACACAGAGAACTCAGCCAAGTCCCTTAGGGCAGAGGCTCTACTCCCTGACCTCTGTGGCCTCAGAGCTCCAGTGCTGCTGTCCACACTGGGGCTAGAGTCTCACATTGCCATTGGCCTGTTGGGATTCAGAGCCATTAATAAGATACCTTTGGGCTATCAAACTCTTAGTGAAGCCAGGTTATAATAAACTGTTTATGTCTACATGAGGAACTGGGGTGGTGGTGAAAAAAAAAAAAAACCCTGACAAAGATATTGCTAAGGGAGCTACATCTAAACAAGCTCGGGCTAGAGTTCTCCACATTCAGCCTCACAGGCTGCTGCATGATTTTGTGACATGCACCACTACCCTCTGTCCCATCCTTGACCAATCCAGGTCCAGGCTCAAGAATGATTCTGAAATAAATGGAAAACCTAGTCTTGAGTAGCACTTAAGACAAGTTCACCTGCTCAGGTTTGCTGGGTATATGCCACAGAATCCTCAGCACCAGGCCAGACCTGTGGAGTCATATCTCTGCCTCCAGCTATCTAAGATACCATCTAAGCAGAACAACTCTGATACATGAAAATACAGAAAAGGCACAGAGGAAGCCAGACGGGTGCTGCATGCCTATAATCTCAGCACTCAGAGGTAGAGACAAGAGGGTTCGGAGTTTTAAAAAAAAAAAAAAAAGGTCTTCTGGATATGACAGGCCTGTTGCAATCATGAATTCACTGCAGCTATGTATGCCTGAATAAGACCCACAACAGATCAAGACAGTCAACATTCAGCAAAGATGGGAGAGGCACTCATAAGACCCCACCCCTAGCCAAGGAATACTGACAGCTAATTATTGGGGGGACGTGAGTCAGTTCTCTATAAGGGCCGTCAACATGCTTGGGTGGAAGCTCCACACCCATGAGTACACTGGGCAGCACCAAGCACAAACTGCTCTAGGTAGCTCATTAAAAAAAAAAAAAAAAGCCACGAGCTGGGGTAGATAGGGTGAATCTGGGAGAAGTTCAGGGGCGAATATTGTAAAAATACATTGTGTAAATTCTGAAAAGTTCAATCCCATCACTTAAAATAGGCTGGCTGGTGGCTCTCTGTGACTCACAGGACATCCATGGCTACACAGAGAGCCCCTGCATTTCTTTTTTTAAAAAGTGCTTAATAAAAATATATTAAAAAAACAAAACAATAAAGCATGAAGGCTTCGGGGATTCCTAGAAGAACTTCAGATTATGAGTGTTCCTTTAGTGGCCATTGTCTTGATTTAGAGTCTAATTTTAAATCTTTTAATCTTTTTATATAGTGTAGTCTGGTATTTGGCACATGATAGGATACTTTAATGCGGACTAAGAACAAAGTTTTAGACTGGCAGCAGGTGATAGGAGCTACAAGAAAAAAAGAGGGTGGGGGTGGGGGTAGCTGGAGCTCAGGGCTGATAGGTAGAGGTTAGGTTCTTCAGGTGGGTGGTCAGAAACAAAGTCTGGGGCCAGGCATGGTGGTACACACCTTTAATCCCAGCACTCAGAAGGTAGAGGCAGAGGGATCTATGTGAGTTGGGGACCAGCCTGGTTCCAGGATAGCCAGGGCTAAACAGACTTCATTTCAAAAAACCAAAAGTCTAGGTATTCAAAAGTGGCCTCACTTGAGGTTGGAACAGAGAAAACAGGCAGGACAGAGTACAGGGGAGAAAGGCAGCAAAGCTAAGTTGGAAGACAACAAGCAGAAGTGGGCAAAGAGGAGCCAGGTACCGTCAGTCACCTTCCATCCCTAGTGCCAGGAAGTTTTCTTAAGGGAAAGCCAGCCAGTGCTGGATGGTTTGTCAGGATGCCTCGAAGTGGCTGCCTGGGGGCTGGGTGTTCGGTTCCATTAAGCCAGCTGGTAGAAGCCCTGTTTTCTGTGGTACCACTCTGTAGGCCAGAGAGTTTGTAGCTAACCTACCGGACGAGCCCTGTATCTTTTTCAACATTATAAAATGGGTTTATAATCAGAAGGCTTTGACTGCATTATGAATAGAGGAAAAGCATTTCACTTCATCCCACCTGTGGGTGTGGCTGATTGTCAGGGTATTGGGATCAGCTCTCACTGGCATGACTTCTGTCACCTGGCTCATAGGGTCTTCTGAAGATGCTGAGCCACTTACTGGCTGGACTGAGACCTGGCTGATCCAAAAGAGGGAAACTGGCTGGGCTTGACTTTCTAGTATTGGCTAAACTGGCAAGCCTAGCCAAGCAGCAGGCCGGGCCCTTTCTGTCTCTGGGAGTTGGGTCTTCTTCAGTTAAGGTAAGAAATAAATAAACAAATACCACAAGATTCTCTGTTCCTTGCCATTTCCAGATGGGGCCTACTTACATTTTTGTTTTTCCGGAACAGTGTTCTGGCTTCATTTTTTATGTACTGTTTTTCTTTAATGGTGTCTTCCATCTGCCCTGATGCTGCCTCCCATTTCCGTGCAAGCCTGAAAATGCTTCGGTAGAGGATCAGGACTTCTTGCCGTGTTGTCATCTTCAGACCCACCAGAGTAGCTGGAGGAAAATCTACATAGAAATGCAGTTTGATAATAGGCAGCCAGGCAGATGTACAGGGTTTTTTTGTTGTTGTTGTTGTTTATTTGGTTGGTTGGTTTTTCCAGACAGGGTTTCTCTGTGTAGCCTTGGCTGTCCTGGACTTGTACACCAGGCTGGCCTCAAACTCACTGTCATTCACCTGCTTCTGAGACACAGTTTTCGAATCAAGACTTTTAATTAGTCTAGAAATAACTGCCCCTGTTCAGCAGATCTGTGTCTAGCATTACCAGAATGGCATAGAGGAAACATCAATGAGAAATCAATTTTGCTCTCTTCTCCCATCCTCTTACTGTTATTTATTTATTTACTTAATTTTGTTTTTTTGAGTGAGGGATCCTTTGTGTAGCCTTGGCTATCGTGAAATAGACTCTGTAATCCCTGCTGGCCTTGGACTCACAGAGATCCACCTGCCTCTGCCTCCCAAGTGCTGGGACTAAAGGCACCACCACTGCCTGGCTATCATCTCCTTTATTTTTGAGACAGTCTTATAAGCTAGTCCTGGCTAGCCCGGAAAGCCATATATAACCCACATCAGCTTCAAACTCATGATCCATCCTGCCTCAGCCTCCTAAATGGTAGGATTACAGACCTTCTCTGGCAATTGAGAAGGCAACTGAGGGTTGTCTAGTTTGCTGTTTGCTATGAGCCCACTTGTACAAACAAGAACAAGTCTACTTTTTTATTTTTTAAAACCAGACTGACTAGAATACCTCAGAAATGATGGTTTCAGTCTCTGTGCTGATAAATTTACATGACAGACCTGAATGCTTAGAAGGCATATTTTAGCTTGTCTTGTTGAGACGGGACGGGGTTCCACCATGTGATACTGGCTGGCCCAGAACTTGTTTTTTTTTTTTTTTTTTTTTTTTTTTTTTTTTGGGGGGGGTGTCTCATATAAACCAGACTGGCCTATTAACTCCTGAACCTATCGCTACCAACCAAGTAAAGCAGTATTTGTGTTTTGAGGCAGGGTTTCTCTGCGTAACCTTGGCTTTGTACACCAGGCTGGCCTCGAACTCACAAAGATCACCTGCCTCTGCCTCCTGAGTGCTGGGGTCATAGGCGTGTGCCACTGTGCCCAGCTGCTTTTATGATAGTTTAAGACTAGTTAAGAGGACTAGGCATGGTAGCACAGGCCTGTCATCTCAGCACTCAGAAGGCTGAGGTAGGACATGATTTTAAAAACAGCAACATTTAATGCTTTATAACATGAAATCTTAAGTGACAGTTACCATTTTTGAGACTGTGGTTACCATATAAGCCAAACAGAATCAGTCTCAAGGTTCAGCTTTACCCAGAGGCTGTAAAGTTGTGATTTCTCTTAGTTTAGAAAACATTTTTCTAAACTGCTTCCTTGACCAATAAGAATGGTACAACTGAAGATCTTTCTCATGACTGAAGAGCTTTTTCTATGAAATACCACCAGTGGACATGGTCAAATGAGAACTGACTTAAGTATACAACTTCAAGCAATGTCTTTTCTGTAAATTTTTATTACTTTTATTTTTACAAAATATTTCAGACACAAAAAGACAGAGAATAACATGATAGCTACATACAATAAGCTTTGAAGAACAAGTTATAGAAATACTTGATACCCCCATTGGACCCTTTCTAAAGCAATCCTTTTTTTTTTTTTTTTTCTTTTTTGAAACGGGCTGGCCTTGAAATCATAAAGAATTGCCTCCCTCTGCTTCCAGGATGCTAAGATTAAAGGTACATATCATCATGAGTGGCATCTCTTCTTGTTGAAGGTACCACCACTCATCATGAAACTTTTACATTTATTATAATACAAGACAGTTTTACAAGCTTAGAACTTCATATAGGTTCTGTAAGTTTGTTTTTTTTTTTTTTTTCTCATTAATTTGCAAGGCTCATTCACATTGTCATACTGCGCTCTAATTTTGACATCATTGCTGCAGGTCACTCCACTCTGCCAAGAGATCCCCAGAGGTCTAATCTGTTGATGGATATTTTATAACTTATGTAAAACTTCAGCCTATTTGAAGAACTTGAGAGGAAATACCAAGGGGGGGGGAGGGGGAAGACAAGTCCTTGAAGTTCTTAGTCAGATTTAGAATAATGACTACTACGCTGTCTTAGACAAGAGGACCAGCTGGAAAGACAGATCTGATGAGTAAGCAGCAGAGTCAGGCGCTTGGACACGTCCATGAGTCCTGAGTTGTCCTTCCCCCCCCACCCCCCGCCATAAACAGGCTTGTCGGGATTGGGAAGGAGGCCTAAAGGCAACCACTTAGGAACACAATCCATTTCCAACTCCTTACCTGGGGCTGGAATACTTTAGGATGGTCCTTATAATATTCCCAGCTGCTAAAACATGGTAAGAGCAGGAGGGATATATTTATCTATATACATACAGATATAAAAATCCCAAGCACCTTCTTTGTGGATGATTGTCCCTCTTATTTACCCCTGACCCTGGTAACTTTTCGTGAGCAATACAGAGAGAACTAAGGCTTGCCCATTTGATAAAAAGCTTGAAAGCACCACTTCCCCCATCTAAAGGCTTAAAGGGTCAAACTTACACACAACACCATCTATGTTGCTTCACAGGAACCATGCTTAAAGGCATTATAAAAGCCAAGTGAGAACATCGTGGGTGAGACAAACCTAGATGAGATGAGGATATTTTTCCTGGTAAGGAAAGAGGTTTTTGAGTTTCTGGCTCTCCCTATAATTCCATGGTTTCATCTGAAAATATGTGAGTCAGTTCTTGTAGGGGCAGTAGTATCAACTAATGATTGCTTCAATTCCCTGTCATTAACAGATGAAACTTCCTTGACTTTCAGATACTGGCAAAGGAAAGCGAAGGTCAAGCATATAAAAAAACCTAGCAAATTTCTCATGGCCTGACTTTAATTCGTTTTCTTCTACTACTCTAAGAACTCTGATCATAAGTCATAGCATGACACACAAGACCTGCAATTAGGTTACTCAAATGCTAACAATCAACACTTAATAAGACTACTTTGAAAATACTATAATTAGTGTGTGTTTTGAAAACTAGTCCAGAAAAGAAGATAGGGGATGATTCTCCAACATCAGATGACCCAAAAAATCCAACTTGCAAAGACTACTAGAGAGAAAAGTCAAAGCTGTCTTCACTACCAAGTACATGAACAGGTACATCCTATTATTTCTAAGTCTTGGAAGAAAAGCCAAGAAGAGAGAAAAAAACACATCTTTACTTGTTTTCTTATTGGGTTTCTTTCAGTTCTTTGCCCGGGGCAGGGGGGACTATGATCTTGACTTTGGAGTGCATACCCATATTGTTCCCTCTTCGCTAATCTTTATTTTTTGTAAGACAAGATCTCACTATACAGCTCCTGAGAGAAAATACCAAGACAACAAGGTAGAATAGGCTGGCAGCAAACTCACATAGATCCACCTCTTTTCCTATGTGCTGAGATTAAAGATGCAGATGCACCACATTAACCTAATCTCTTTTTAACTTGACCACCTCTCTATTCATCCTTTAGCCTCTCATGAAACATGCACATCTCAGAAAACCCTTCACACTCCCTAAGCTCTCCTTAAACACTCACACTGCGTTAGGAATCAACTGAATCTTGATAGCTGTTCTTTATAGGACCCATCACTTAAGTTCTGGTTTATTAATGTCTATTTTCCTTCAACAGACTCTAATCTTTATGGGGCCAGTTACTACATCTGTCTTATTTACTGCTGAAATCTCAGCACCTAGAAAGGTTATATACTAGGAATTCAACAAATGTTTTCTGAAAACATGAGAATATCTGATGCTACAAAAAGCTTGAGATTTGCAAACTGAATTATAAAAAAAAATCATAAAAAAATTTAAAAGTGCTTTTCTTTTTGTATCTTTCTCCTTGGTCTTTTCTAGAAAGCAACTTATTTACTAAAGTTGCTGTTTCATGAAGGTTTTCTAACTCAAGAATTTAATGGCTTTAAACCAACATTCTTCTCAGGACGAATGCAGGAAGCCTTTATCCTTATTTACAGTTGGTCAAGGGTTGATCTGATATAGTAGTGAGATCTGCTGGATGTTCCCCTTAGGCAATGTAAGGAATAGCCACTGTTTAGACATCAGAACCTTAAAATGGTCATGCAACCTATACTTAAAGAATTTCTCCAAAGTTCTATGACATTTAGTCTGGTTCAACACTACTTGATGTATTTATTCCTGTTTATACCTTTAACTTCCAAATTCCAGGATTTAGAAAGAAAATATAAGTATGGTTGGAAGGAATTGTGACTGGAAGGTGGCTTCTTTTTAAAAGCTGTACTGCCTATATTGCAGAGTACTAAAATGAAATTTGTTTGTTATTGAGTGCATATTTTATAAAAGTCTGGCACATTTCGCTGCTAGTGTGATTTGGCCTCTGGTCCTCAGCTGCATTAGGGAGAGGTCCCTAATGCAGACATCTCAAAATTTGATTGTGGAGGTGATTTTAGATATATGATACTCACATTTATTAGTTGTTATTACTTTAATGTATACTGGAATGACCCATCAAACCTATGATATAGATTTTTGTGTGATGTAGGGTTGGCTATGAATAAATATATTCAGAAAAATTCTAGGTAGGGTATGCTACTCATACCTGTAATCCTGACACTCAGAAGGCTGAAGAGGGACTGCCACAAGTCTGGGGCCAGCCTGGGCTACAAAGTGAGTACCACCTCAGCCAAAAATACATAGCAAGACCCTGTCACACTGTCAGGCCTATGCTTGTCTTGGCTGACCCTTCCATGCTGAATACCTCTTTCTACTGGTCATTTCTCCTCATATGAGAAATACCTATTCACTACTAAATCTTCCCAGGGCACTCTCTCCCTGGGGCCTAGCACATGCCACCTATTGATCTCTTTTGCAGTTTTATCCTTGATTTTCCTGCCTAATTCCTGGAGAGCAGAAACTTTGTCCTATTCATTACAGAAAAAAACAAAACAACAACAACAAAAAA